CCCTCATTCATTGTTTGCTCCTCAAATCCCCTCACCCTCCCTATTTCCTGTTTGGGCTGGGTCCTGACCATGCAGCCCCTTCCTCCAGTCTCTCAGAAAAGTGATCTGCTGGACTGTGCAGTCCCTGCCTCCAGCAGTCCAAGGAGCTTATCTCTCGGGCCAGGGTCCACACAGCCCTTTCCCCCTTGCCTCTCAAGGCCAGAGCTGGACTGTGCAGTCTCTTCCCCCACATTCCAAGAAGCTGGTCTGAGAAGGACTCAAACTCTGCAGGTGCACACCAGGAAGCCCCCCTTCTCCTTATGGGCACAAGCACCAGCAGCTCTCTCCACCTCATTTGCATATTCCCCTGACCCAAATCCTACAAATATCCCACTGCTCCACCAACTCGTGATTTCCCAGTTGGGTCTCTGAACCCTCCCAGGAGCTCAGGATGCTCCTGCCCCTTTCTGTTCTCCCTTCCCTCCAGGGAGCTCCTTCCCTCCCCTAATAAAGCCGCTCTTAACCTCACGTTCTTTGTCTCAATCCTATCTCCGTTCAGTGTCTCAGTGTTGACCTCTCATTTTCCACTCCCCACTCTGACATCCCCTATCAACCCTTGCATCAGTTATTATCTCTATGCATCTACTCCTTCTGTGCTTCACAAACTGGGAAACTCAGCAGAAACAATTAAAAAACTAAATTAAGTGGTAAGGCTAAAATAAGAATATGAAGATAAAAAGTACAAAGAGTGAGTAAGAAAGAAAAGACCACCATCAATACTTAAAAACCAGGGAAGAAAATGTTGTCACGGACCTAGCAAGAAATACTTGAGCCTAAAACAAATTCAGGTTGGGTCAAGAGGGAGGTCAACTGGCCAAGGATCAAGTTCGATCCAGCATCATCAAGTTTACAATGATCTCTATCTAGTGAGACCTTTGCCTGTGGCTAGAGGGGGTCTGTCACAGGCTTAATCTGACTATTTACTCTGCAGAAGGATTCTCGGCTCCCACTGTCCTCCACGACCTTCTACAAGTTGGGTGTTCACAATTTAAGCTCTGATACTTTTCGCTTCGTAATATTTGGATTTTGTTATCGTCATCTCTGGATCACACAGGTTGGTGTGCTTCTTCGATGTGGACTTAGTTGACTTCTTGCTTAGGTGGCTGCTGAGCTGTGATTCTTTACACAAGAGAATTTTTCTCCCGTGCAGAGGCTGGTGGGTTTGAACCACTGAACTTTTGGTCAGCACCGCTCTTCAAACCCACTGTCTGAAATCCAAACAGGTTGACTTTAGACTCAGAGTGACCCCATAGGATAGGGTAGAACTGCCCCTGTGAGTTTCTGAGACTAACTCTTTATTGCAGTAGGAAGCCCCACCGTCTTTCTCCCACGGCGCAAACAAGATTCTTTCAAACCCACCATACCCGACATTATAAGATGTTATAAAAAATAAACAAAACCCAATGCCTTCCAGTTGTTTTAAATTCCTACCCTATAGTGTATATCCTATACACCCTATGGGATCAAGAATAGCCCTATAGGGTTTCCAAGTCTGTAATCTCTAGGCCAGCCAACTGACACGATTTTCTGCATAGGAGCAGCTGGCGAGTTCGAACTGCTGACCTTCTCATAGTGACTAAGGTGTCACTATGATTCTCTTTTTAAGAAACCAACTTCCCCAAAGCCCCCACTGCCATCTGGTTGATTCAGAGTCAGTAACCCTACAGGGCAGATAACTGTTCCCTGGGGTTTCTGTGTATCTTTATGGGAGCAGATAGCTGTCTCCTGAGGAGCAGCTAGCTGCTGGGTGGAACTGCTGACCTTGAAGTTAATAGCCCAACACCTAGCCCACTCTGCCACTAGGGCTCCTTTTGTAAGAAACAGACCTCTACATTTCCCATTTCTCCCAGGATTAGTAATAGCTGTGTTTCTCTTGAGCAATCAATTTGTTTTTATTGTGATGCTGTGACTCACTCAGTAAATTGTGTTTTCCTCTTTTTCTCAGCTGTCAAGAAGCTTTTAAAAAAATTGGCTCACCTCCAGCTTGTGTACAAAGTCTCAAGGCATGTGCTTTCTGGATTCACGGTCACTCATGATCCCAACTTTTATTTTCGACCCTATTTCACTTTATTCTTATTTCTGTATATACATATATTAAATCAACAGCATGCTGGTTATATTTTTAAGCCCGTGCCCCTCTCTTGGAGCTTGAGATTGTTTATATAAATTAATACAAAACATATTTCCCTTATGACTTGAGGTCACTTGCATAGTTCTTTGGTTTTTTGTTCTTTCCTTCTTTTTTAAAAGCATTTTATTGGGGGCTCTTACAGTTCTTATAACAATGCATACATCAATTTTACCAAGCTTATTTGTACATATGTTGCCATCATTCTTTTCTAAACATTTACTTTCTACTTGAGCCTTGATGTCAGCTAGAATATCAAGGTTGTATCACTCTATATCTGACCAGGAAACCTGGTTTCCTTGATTAATTTTGAGTTTTGTTACACAGTTTTCTCCTTGAGAGCCCTTGAGACTATAGCCCTTAGTCACTGTCACCCTTCCGGTCTGAAAGTGAAACACACACACCGCCCTCCACCCATGGCAGCTCAATTTTCAGTCAGACAATGGGTCTATGAAGCAAACAGTAACAATAGGGAGGTACACACACCTTAGAATAACCAACCATCTGAGATCAAAAGAGCAACATTTACCGAAGGACAAAATTCAGAAGGCTTAAGAAAGGAGGAGGTATGGAAATAGGAAATATAGGAGGAAGTGGATAAGTGATGTTACATTGAGGGGTGCAAACAATGAATTTTAAAAAGAGGTGTATGAATTGTTGAATGGAACATTGATGGTCTGCTCTGTAAACCTTCACTCATTTCACAAAAAAGAGTAAACAATAGATAAAATGAGACTAATTTCTATACCACCGGGTAGTTGTAAGGAATGAGCAACAATGCATCGGACTCATGGTAGCTGCTCAATATTTTTGTTAACTCCCCCCCCCCCACCGCCTCTCTCTTTAAAAAAAAGTCACTTTGGTGGCCGAGGCCATCAGCCTTTTGTCGTTTATAAATGGGTTCATCATTTACTGTCACTGATACTTCAAACTGCGCTCTAGTTTTGAAATTTCAGAGCTGGACTGAGGTGTTCTGCCCCTGAAACAAACAAAAAATAATAATAGCAACCACCTCACTGCCATCGAGTCAATTCCTATTTACTCATACTGACCCTATAGGGCAGGATAGAACTGCTCCTGTGGGTTTCTGAGACTGTCACTCTATCTGAGTATAAGCCTCTTCTTTCTCTGGAACTGCTGACCTTGCCGTTAGCCACCCACTATGCCTCCAGGGCTCCACAGGAAACAAAACCTTTCCCCCAAGTCTAGAGGGGAAATTTATGGATGGGCTCTCTGTCATATTAAAATTTACTCTCGTGTATGATGCACCTGCTATCACTGTTTTGTAGTCAACTCCACCTCATACCAAAAAAAAAAAAGATTTAGCACTTTTCACATGGAATGATTTCAGGTACAACGGCAGATTTCATAGGCGCCTGTAAATTTCAGAAGTTCAGGCGGCGAAATCTCTATTCGAAGTCTGAACCAATACCAAAACTCGTCACCGAGCTCAATGCCTCTCAAACAGCGGACCACTAAACTTTTCTCACGGGATGGGAAATCGAAAGCAAACTCGCTACCACACGGGCGGTTAGCAGCGAGCGCTTAACCACTGCGCCACCAAGGCTCCACATCGGGATACCGCCACACAAAACTACAAGACCCAGTAGGCTGCCGGCCCAGCGCGGCTGGTGGGCTTCCTTTCCCAGAACGCTGCAATTCTTTTCCAAGTCTCACCCAATTCCTATCCGGGCTTAGGAGCCTGAGCCGCAGAGCCTACTGGGCCTTGTAGTGCACTTCAGAGTCCCTTTTCCCTTTCCGCGCAGACTCACAAGGCCTCTGTCTGCCCTTCGGCCCTTCGGAAGCCCCAACCCTTGCTTCAATGCTCCCCACCCCCATCCCGCTCCCTCCCCTTGGGGCCCAACCTCCTCCGGTCACGCGGACAGCACAGCGCGCGGTGATTGGCCGCGGGGTTTCGGGGGCGGGGCCTAGGGCCTGAGATTCCGTGCCCCTTGTCGGGGTGCTTGTTTGGCTGTTGCCGTCACCTCATGGCGACTCGCGTAGAGGAGGCAGCTGAAGGAGGAGGCGGCGGCACTAAGGAGGCGGCTGAAGGCGGACGGGGCGGACGGCGACGCAGCCCACGGCAGAAGGTCAGTTCTGGGAACACCTTGGCTGGTGCCAGGATGGGGAACGTACGAGTTCGCTTTCTCGGGGGGCCACCTCTTCAGTCTCCCCGAGTACCTTTAGCCGCGGGACGAACATCCGGTCCTCTTCCCTCGGGGTGGGGGGTGACGACTGAGGGAGCAGGTGGGAGGGTGGGACCAACATGGAGGGAAGGGGAGGGGGCGACAATTGGCGCTTGTGAGCGGCAAGGCGGGAAGGGGAGGGTGGACTGGGGGCACATCCAGGTCGGTGGGCACCGGGGGTGTGAGGCGGGGGCACGCCAGGTGTGACAGCCACGTGCCGTCGGGGACCCGGCGCCAGGTGCCACCTCCTAGTTCCCTCTATCCCCGCGCTGGGCGCAGCCGTTGGTGGGCTGCCTGGTGTCTCTTCGGCAGGTGCTAGGGGTGCGCTGCGGGGTATGTGAGGGGCGCGCTGCGGGGTGCCATGGGCCGCGCCGGCGAGGTTGTTGCGCAGTAAGATATCCGCTCGAGAGAGCCGGGCTGGCGAGGCGCCCCCTTCCCCCACCCGACGTTCCCCGACGCTGCGTGGGTAGCCAACAGCCTCCCCCCCTTCCCCTCAGGGTCGCTCAGCCCGAGGACCCCAGGCCTCGGGCTCGGCTGCACGTGGGGTCGTGGAGGGGCAAAGACACACGCAACCGGGGTGCCTCAGTGCTGCAGACTTGCAGGGGCATCGCAGATCACCGGTCTTCCTTGGCCAGCCTTTCTTCCTCCTTCCTTCGTTTGAATTTTACCCCCAGTTCATTTCTTCTGTGCCCAGTTGGACGATGGAAAACATTGTGCATCTTGCGGATATTGCATATCGGGTTGCTGTGCGTCGGAATCCACTCGACAGCACGCCGCGGACACCACCATCACAACAACGTGTGTGTGTGCAATTGATGTGGAACCCTGAGCTCCGCCTTGAGCCTGGCTCGGCCTTTAGTCGCTTAAGCAGAGATACAAGCCCACCCCCCACCCCCTTGCCTTACTTGACTCAACGTCCAGGAGTTTTCAGTTTCTCCCCGGTACAGGGAAATCAAGCCCAGGCCCTCCTTCAGAACTGGGGAATGGCACTTGTTCAGTGGGTGGGGTTTGAGCAGGATTGCACAACGAATGGGCTCCGAGATTTTTCAGGGCTCTGGCGTGGAGAACTGCAGAAGGGGAGGGGGGGCCTAGAAGCAAGGAAAAAAACCCTTTCTTTTTTGCGTTGCTCTTGATTGGGCATATTGAAACGTTCACTTCGTTGGACATGTGCCTTGAGCACTCAGGGTATTTAATGTTACTTAATCATGCATTTGAATACCCTTAAAAATCATCCCAGTGTGGAATTAGGAAAGAATATTTTTCTAATGTGGCTAATGAACTTCAAGATGAAGGCCTGACAAAGGGTTGGGTTTGCATCTAAGCAGAGCCTGGAATGAGCTTTTGAGGGTTTGTCTCTAAGGTCAGGCATTTTCGTGCCTTGGGGTTAGAAGTAGGTGTTCCTACTTCTCAGTTACCTCTCTCTTTTTCTCTTTCTGTGCTCTGAAAGAAAGATCCAGTATCTGCCAGACTGAAAAAAGAAGCTGCGGACCAAATGTACCCTAGGGACTCAGCATTGTCGCTGTGGACACTCCTGTCTTCCCCAGGGGTGGGCAGCCAATCTCAGTGTTTGATTTTGTACTTCCCCCAGGGGAGAACTCTGTTCAAAAGCCACTGCAATTCAGGACATCAGTTCTCTTTTGTGCCGCTGGGATGGGATAAGGACCAAAAGGAGTTGAATTAGGAACAGAGAGTATTTCAAAACTACGTAGATAAGGAGTAATGACCTTGAGGCCCAGAGCTCTGGTAACAGCTGCATATGAATAGTCCGAACCTCCTTGCCTGTCTGCTGTTTGTTTGGGTGTGCTGATCTCATAGTTGTTTTGTATAGGGGCATCTTTTCCTGTCAGATTCCTTGTTCTTATTTAACTAGCTGATGACTAGTTAAATGGAAATGCTTGGCTACACCAGTTGCTTTGAAGTTGATTCAAACTTATGGGCCTCCATGTGTGTCAGAATAGAACTGTGTTCCCTACGGTTTTCAGCTGATTGATTTTTATTTTCCCTCAAGTATGCTGCCAGTCCTCTCTTTGGAGGTGCCTCTGGGGTGAGTTTGAGCTGTCTACCTTTTGGCTGGCAGCCATGTGTGTTAACCTTTGTTCCACTGTGGAACTCCAAATTGAAGAATGAGGATTCGGTTTTGAATTTTCATTTTTTAAATAGAAGTGAATGAATAGCTTGTATCTGCAAACATCAATTTTTTATTTCCTCTGGGTCCCTGACTTGGGGGAAAAAATCCTTTCATTGTCACTGAACCTACGCCTTCTTTTTCAGGGGGCAGAAAGGACATTTAACAAATTGGGTTCTTATTTTTAAAAATATTGAAGGAATGAAAAGAATAGTGATTCTTTTGTCATAGTTGGACTGTAGCACCTTACTTGAGTGCAGGACAATTGGAGAGGGACTTGATTGGTTCCTGGTCCCTTGACTGGCTACTTAGTCACTCTTGACCTGCTTTAGTTAAGTGTGACCTTGTTTCTTAACTACATCTATGTGAGTGGTCTCCAAGGGTGACCTCTTTTCTTCTAAGGTTACTATTGAAGGAGCCAAAGTTGCATTGTGGGTTACTTGTTGAGCTGCAAGCTACAAGGTTAGCCGTTTGAACCCACCAGGTGCTCCACAGGAGACAGATGAGGCTGTCTACTCTTGTAAAGATTTACAAAGTCTCAGAAACCCAAAGTGGCAGTTCTGTAGGTTTGCTGTGAGTTGAGAATCAACTCAGTGGTACTGAGTGAGGTTGTTGTTTTTTGTGGATAATATGACAATTCATTTTCAGGCAGTTGCAGCTGGCCCCATATGACTATTAAAATGAAATAAATGTAATTCCATTCCCTGAGCTCACTAACCTTTCAAGTATTCACTGGTCAATGTGGCTCATGACTACTGTCTTGGGCAAAGTATAGATTTAGAACCTTATGTCCCGATGTAGAATTGATTTCACAAGTTTGGTTTTGTATTTTGCGTGGGAATGGTAAAAAAGTATCTTAACTATTATTGAATTTATTTTTAGGTACATAAATATATCTGGAACCTGGGCCTAAATTAACAAAGAGCCTTGTGGTTTTGACAGCGTGTGTACACATCATTAACTCTTTCTGCGTCACTCAGCTCCTGTGGAGAAGAATAGGCTGCTGTCATTGCCCTCGTTTATGAGCGAGAAACTGCTCAGCAAGGTCAGGCAAGTTGCCCACGGGGTGAAGCTGAGCCTGGAACCCAGTAATCCCCTTTCATCTACACCACAGTAATAATCAGGGTAGTAGTGGGTCACTGGTATGGATTTGGGAGTCGGGACTCTTGGCTCTCTGCCACTTAGGAGCCTGGCAACCTTGGGCAGGTTTCTGACATTCTAAGCGTCAGTTTCATCACCTGTAGAGTGGGACTGATGCTCAGCTGAGTTTTACTTGATTTGGCAGGGAGGGTATATAAAAGATTCCTTTCTCTGACTGCTAGGGTGCTATGTCCAAACACAATTTTCTAACCTTATTTTGGATTTTCAGAGCCTCTATGTGATCCATGCAGTGAGGAGCAACTCTCGGGCCTTAGGTTCGGCAGGAGTATGTGGGTAGGAAGAAACCATTTTACTGCCTTCTATCTCTATCCAAGGACGCCTTGGCTTTCCACTCTTTTAGAATAGTAGTTAAGTCATAAGCAAAGTAAAGCAATCTTCTGTTTGCAGATTGTTGTCAAGTTGCATCTACACACATTGGTAGATTTCATTTTCACATTGAAGCAAAGGACAAGCAAGGGGCTACAGGATACATCACATTCCTTTAATCATGCCACATTTGCCTGGCATAGTATGTCTAATTCACTCATCATGGCGTTAGCAGAAGATGGTTTTCATGTTGTTTTTAGGTTCATTTATATTGGCCTTGACAAGAGCTGTTTACTTTGAAAAAGTATATGTCAAATTTGGATGATAGAAAACAAAAGGATTTGCTTTTGTGGAATTCTGTTCAGATTTTATACATTTTGGAGAATTGTTTCAAAGGAAAGAAATTTAAGTCCTATTTTGTGTACTGTGCTAGGCACAAAAAATGTACGTGTTTTCCAATATCTCCGTAACTCCTCTGTCCTTATAAGCCCACAACAAAATCAAATGTGTTGTCATCACATTGATTCTGGCTTATAGTAACCCTATAGAACCCCTATAGAATTGCCCCACGGGGTTTCCAAGCCATTGAAGCAGACTGCCATGGCTTTCTCCCCAGAAGTAACTGGTGGGTTTGAACTGCTGGCTTTTCAGTTAGTAGCCAAGCTCTTTTTTTTTTTTTAACATTTTATTAGGGGCTCATACAACTGTTATCGCAATCCATACACACATCAATTGTGTAAAGCGCATTTGTACATCATTCTCAAAACATTTTCTCTCCACTTAAACCCCCGACATTAGGTCCTCATTTTTCCCCTCCCTCCCCGCTCCCCCCTCCCTCATGAGCCCTTGATAGTTTATAAATTGTTATTTTGTAGTAGCCAAGCTCTTAACCACTGCGCCACCATTAGAAACATGGCACAGGCGGCGGTGATGTCATCTGATCTCTTTGTCTAATTTCATCAAAAGGAAGAAGTATCCAGATCAACAGCCCGAGACTAATTCTTCTGAGGTGGAGGTCAGAACACCTCTTTTTTTTAAAAAAAAAAAAACCTAATCACCAATACTGACATCAGCTGTCTTTCCCAGGGTGCAAATTATTTCTCTGCTGAGTTCAAGAATCTGTTGCAGGGAACACAGAAATCACAGACCATACTCACAGCTATAGGCTTGACTTATTAGGCAGGTAACAGGTCACAATTCAGAATCGGGAACAACTTAGAATACAGTTCTATGGCCAGGGTGGCTCCTTGGCTTTGCCTACAAGGCGGCCGGCCTCTCCCTAACCCATCGGGCCTCTTGTGGCAGCCCAGGC